TCTGCTCTGGGCTTGCACAGGCCCTAGAGGCCGCGCGCTCACCAGGCTACGTACCGTCCACGTCTTCAGTTTGTCCCAGAACACCTTGAATTCATCGAAGTCTAGCTTCCCGTTGCCACTGGTCTGTGCCGAGTGCATTAAGGAAAACATGAGCGCGTTTCAGCCTGAGGCTCCTCCTGGGACCTGCGGCTGCCACTGCAGGGGGGAGGGGCAGAGGGCTGGCGAGGGGGACGAGGGGACACAGGTTGAGGGCTTTGAGGGGGTGGTTTAGTGATTACACCTCGAGTCGCTGAAGGGGGGCCCGGCAGGGGTGAGATGGCAATAGCATCAAAAGGTTCGAAAAAAACCACAAAACCCCCTTCATTCCCTTGCACGGGACCCCAAAATAACAGCAAGACCCCCAAGTCCCCTCAGACACACTCCCACCCTTGGACAGTCCGTGTCTTTGACTCTGTCCCGGGTTCTGGCCAGGGGTTTCCCCGCCTTGGTGGCTCCGGTGAAGGAGACCGCCCTGTGGGGGGAGGTGCCACCCTCTAGGACACACTCGGCAGCTACTTCTGCCCAGGCGTCGGGAAGGATACGTCCGTTAGCGAAATGATGTTTTTACAGGAAACCAGGCTGAGCTGCTCGAATCTGATGCCCTTTTCTGAAATGACACGTGAACACAAAGTGCGGATCACCCCTGAAAACGTACCTGTTTCCATCTGTGGCAAGTCCGACAGTGCAGTTAGATCTGGGGCCCTGGGGGGGGGCAGGTGCTGACATGCTCACACCCTCGGGGGTCCCTTAGGAGTGGCAGTGGACGTGGCCTTTTCGGGGGAAAATACGCAAAATATGAAAAACCCCTTATATGGGAATATCCTTCCATCCATTATTTAGTCTTAAGAATCCCAAGCAAAGAACTACCAGTTAAAATTTTCTCCTGAGATTATTTATAAAGGCAAAGACTTAGAAATGATATAAGTGACCAGTGGAAGGACAATCAGTTATGCCCACACGATACATTAGCACAGTGTCACCCAGTTCTGAAGAATCGCGTTTGTGAGGCACATTTAATGACCCGGGAAACGAGAAATTCGAACACCCATTCGCAGCTGGTGTGGAATGTGGAAGTGCCGTGGGAAATAGTCCAGCATGTCCTCGAAACATTAAGTATACAGTTGCCACGTGAGCCAGCAGTCCCCTCGGCTGTCTTATCACCCAGAGAAAGGAGAACGCACTCCCACAGGATAACCTGTTCACGGGTGTTCGCGGCAGCAACGCGGCCCCCACCTGCGCATTCATCCACGGGCGGAGGGACGCGAGAGCAGAACGCAGTCCACTCGGGGCCCTGCTCCCCGGCTGTCGTCATAAAAACAGCGCGGGCCACCCTGGCACACGTTCCGCCAGGGGTGTCAAACTCACTTTCACCGGGGGCCGCAGCAGCCTCGCACTGGCCTTCCAAGGGCCGGATGGAATTTTAGGACTGGGGACATGTAACTGCTCCTTCACTAGGGCCAAGGAGCTCGGCGCTGCCGCCGGGTAGCAACAAGGTGCCGGGACGTGCCGGGACGGATAAAACAAGGTGGAGGGCGGGATTCGGCCCGCAGGCCTTGTGTCTGCCACCTGTGTGCCATGTGGAGTGGAAGGAGCCGGTCGTAATATTTCACGTATCATGTCAGTCCTTTCGGAGCCAAAGCCCAGAAGAGGCAGATCTGTAGAAGCAGGCAGGAGACGAGTGTGTGCCAGGGGCTGGGGGTAGGGGCAGCCCGTGCGGGGTCTCTTTCTGGAGTGGGACGAAAAGTCCTAGACTGGTCGTGGTGACGGCAGCACAGCTCCGTGAGCAAGGCAGAAACCGTCGGACTGGATACTGTGAGTGGGGGAAGCTCGCAGCCTGGGATTCCCATCTGGAAGCCGACATGTTAAAATACCAACTGTGTCTGTAATCGAATACTGTGTGTGTGCATGGACACACGTACTACATATATGATGCACACACATGTTGTCATCGATGACGGGTGGCGAGATTATGGGCAATTTTATCTTTGTCATTAGGCTTTTCTGCACTTTTTAGGATTTGCTGACATAAACCCACGTCACTTTTGTAATCGAGAAATAAGCAATGGAAGCTCTTCAAAGTCTGTCCAATGTCAGCCCTGAAAAGCCGGTCAGGGCTGGGGGAGCAGGGAGCCCGGGGAGATGGGACCCAGGCGGGTGCTGTCCCAGGGCCCCTCCCAGGCGCCCGGCCCCGATGGGGGTGCGGGGTGGGGGGCACTCACTCTTCCGCAGCACGGCGTTTAAAACGTGTTCCAGCTCTTCCGCGGTCACCTCCAGGTCCTGTTGTTAAAGTGAGACAGTTGCTTTCCATGGCCCTCAGCAGTGAGTTTTTTTTAAATCCCGACCTTGATTTGGCTCAAGTGACAGACCGGCTCCCAGGAGCCTGCGGCAGGCCCGGATGAGTGTCCCCTGTGGCTGCAGCCAACTCATTTTCAGGGACCTGAGACCCAACCCAGAGAAGGCGGAGAAAACTGGGCCGGGGCCAGGCCAGGCCAGGCTGCTTCCCGGGCACCGAGGTGAAGCTCCCACGAGATTCTGACGCCAAAGGCCGTGTGGGTCTGAGCCCCCAGCTCCCTAAGTGCAGCAGCGCCCCGGGAACCCTGAACCGCCCACACTGGGGGGCCACCCCGGCCCCAGTTTGGTCGGGAGGAACTGGCAGTATGGCTCTTATTTTCAAATCCTCTAGGGTTGAACTTCAGAACCATGGACCTCGGGCGCTCCTTTAAATCCTGCTACATCTCAGCACCCACAGCCCTGAGGAGCTGGTTAGAAATGCAGAGTCCTAGGCCTGCCCCCAGGGAAGAACCTCAGATCCAGCCCAACGCCCTACCGAACTGAGGAGCCAAGCATCCCGTGTCCACCTGGCTGGTGGGAAGAGGAGAAAGGTGAGAGTTTGAATTCTCAGTCCCCCTTGCCATCCAAACCTGGATCTCTACTTATGGTACCTCTGTCCCTCCCCACAACCCCCCTCCCCTCCCGGGAGCTGGGCACTCGCTCACCAGGCCTGTCCTCCAGATGGGCCCGAGGCTGGGGCTTCCCCCACCCTGCCACCCTCACCTGCTGCCCGTCCCCCGCCCCCCTGCCTGCCTTGGTTTAGACAAAGCCCCACGGGTCCCCACATTTCTCCACCCCAGACCCTGGCCCCCAGGGCTGCCTGACTTGTCACGCCAGGCCGTGTCCCCCAGGTTTAGGTGTCTCTCTCTGACAATCCAGGTGCCCGGTCAGGGATGGGGAGCCAACGGAGTCATTAGCTTGTTGCCATGAACAGGCCCCCAGGCTACATGTATTTGTGGCCCCAATGGGGAGGCTTGACGGGGACGTGGAGGGGCAGTTGCTCGGAGGACGGAGGCCTGAGCAGGGACAGGGAAAACCCAGCAGGCCAGCTGAGTGACAGAGAGGTAGGGAATGGGGCTGAGAGCAAAGGACAGACTTTCTTCCTCCCTGGAGGCCCCTGCAGCCCTGGGGTTAAGGGACAAAACTCTGGATGCGTTTGTAATTTACCAGTGGCCAGAGCACCACCGTGAAGTGAAGCCGAGGGGAGAGAGGGCTGTGATTCCTGGGCAGAGTTCAGAGGAGCCGCCTCGGGAAGGCCCCCTGCACTGGTCCTCGTCCTGCGGGCGCCCCTGCTCCCTCCCCCGGCCGGGATGGGCGTGAGGGTGTGGCGGGAGGCTGTCTCTCGGGCTAGTCTCACCGTGTGACTAGCTCCCTCCCACACCTGGACACTCAGCCTCTGGGACGTGCTGCTGACTAACACCCCTGTCGCCAGGACCCTGGGCTGGGGGCACCGCGGCCTGGGCAGCCCCCGTGCACCTCACCTCCCCAGCGATGCGTTCGAACAGGGCCCTGAACTGCCGGTGCTCCTCGGTCTCCTGGTCCGGGGGAGTCGGCTTCGGGGGCTGCGAAGGACACAGAGGAGCTGGAGTGGAGCCACGGAACAGGCCCTGGCACCTGCGCTGTCGTAGAAAGAGACAGAAGGAAGAGGCCCGGGTGGGCGGGCAAGGAGAGGGGACCTCCCAGCCGGGTGACAAGGAGCTCGGAGTGGCCCTGTGGGCACACTAGCAGCACCCCACGATTCCTCGTGGGGGCTCCTTGGAAGGGCCTTTGGAAGGACTTGTCAGTGACTGCACAGAGGACAGCGCTGAAGGCAGCGGACACCTGACCGAGTTAGGACCCAGCCAGGGCTGTCTCTGCTCCCTGCGCTTGCTCTGTCTGCCGCCTCAACACCCTCGTCTGAATTGGCTGCCCAGTCACTGGCGCTGAGGGGCGCGTCTGAGAGGGGCAGGAGTCTGTTGCTAGCACCGGGCACGCAGCCGGGTGCATGGAAGGAGGAAAAAGCTCAGCAAGTCTTTGGGAAGTTTGTCTTGTTTTGTTTTGGGGGGCCCATGAGTAAGCCACAACCCAGAGAGGACAGCAAGGGCAGCAGGTGTCCCCCTAAGACCAGATGACTGCTACTTGGGGGGTGTCGGGCTGTTCCGGCTACACCAGCCCCTGCCCCCCAACACGCAACGCAGGGAAGGAGTAACATGTTCCCCCACATCCACAGCCATCCCATCGGCTGGCCTCTCTCATTTCCTTCTTATCAACTGCTTCTCTTTAATTGACTACATTTTAAAGTGTCCCCGTCCCCTCCGGAAACAGCAGCTGCCTCTCAGGGAGCAAGCAGCACCCAGCTCACCCCCAGCAGCTTCCTGCCGGGTGCCGCCCGGTCCTGCTGGGCAATGTGAAGGCAGGAGGGGTCTTGTTTTGCAGGAGGGGAGGATCGAGGGGCTTACCTGATCCCAGGTAACCACTCCCTGAACTTCTGAGTTTTGTGTGACGCTTTGGCTGCAAGGACAGGCTGCAGGACAGCCACCGAGCACCGCCCCCCCCAGAGTATCAAGAGAAGACTCACCTCAGGGAGCTCAAGGAGCACGTCCCCGTCCAGGTCCCTGCGGAGCAGAAAACAGGCTGACTCAGGGTGCATCAGCTTCCCCGTTAGGATCTGTGGCGCCAGAGGGTCCGGAGGTGCTGGCCGGTTCCGTCCCACCTGAGCCCCGCTTTGCAGTGTGTTGACTTTTCCCAGGGTCCGAGGAGCCCAGGCACCAGCCCTGCCCTCGGCACTCGGGGCCTTCCGCAGGAAAACAGGGCGGCGGCCTGGCCTCCCCTGCAGGAACACGCACGTTCTGGATTTCCGGGGGGAAAAGCTGAGCTGCAGCCATTCTGGTTTCCCGGGTGTGCTTTAACGGGGCATTTATGAAGAGTTATGTAGGACAGCAGCGTCCCAAAGTTCCCGGGAGCTGAGCAGTGTCACTGAGCTCCCCATACGCTCTCCGTTGCCAAAGGAGACCCGTGGTCATAGGAGACAGTCGTGGAGCCACTGAGGGTTAAACATTTGTGGGGGGATTTTAAAGATTATAGAGCAAACTGGGTGGAGATAAAACAGAGCGTGTCTGAAATGCCCCTTTCCAGGCAATAGATCCGTGACCCCACCGCGGGGTGGGCTGGGGCGTGTGTGTGGACGTGCTCTGCCTGCGGAAATTGCTGAAAACGCCTTTGTTCGCTGCTCACATGTTCAGGGGAACACAGTTATGGAAGGCAGGGATGCTGAGAGGATGAACAGGCTTCAGCCTTTGTCGATCCTGAAAACGTTTGGAGAATTCCAGTCTTGCAGAGCAAAACCTGGAGCATGCCCGGAGAAAGTCTGCTAGAAACTCGGAAGCAAGACCTGGCTGGTGCAGCTCAGTGGACTGAGTGCCGGCCTGCAAACCAAAGGGTCGCCGGCTCAATTCTCAGTCAAGGCACAGGTCTGGGTTGCAGGCCAGGTCCTGGGTGCCACGAGAGCGAGGGGGAACCACACACTGATGTTTCTCTCCCTCTCTTTCTCCCTCCCTCCCTCTCTAAAAATAAATAAATAAAATCTTAAAAAAAGAAACTCGAAGGGAGCACAAATAAGCAAACACTGGGACGGAGGTAGGGGGACCCTCCCGTGCTCCTCATCCCTTGAGCGCATGACAGCGCCAGCCAGAACGCTTTTATTGTGGGACGAGCTGATTCCGGGCTCAGTATCACAGCAGGTGAAAGTGCTTGTCCGTGAAGCGTGAGCGGGGAGTTAGCTCCGTCACGTGTCAGCTGCCTGCAGGGGCCGAGGACGGTGCGGGACCCACTGACCGGACAGGGAACACGGAGTGCAGGATTGCACAGCCTAGCGCTCTCTCTCTGGTTCTTGCCACCCACGGAAGTCGCCAATCTGCACGGACCCCCTCTGGGGTGCTTTCGTGGGCACAGATCCTGGGAAACGTGCTCAGCTTGTGCTAGTGTCTGGGAGAGGCTGGAGGACAATTTTCCAGCAGAGTTTGTAAAAATTAAAGACGCCATTGCTTCCATTTAGCTGATGAGAACATGCCACGCCTTTTGTGCTCAGCCTGGGAAACCCAACCAGACTTTGTAATCAGAAGTGTTCTGCATGCGCCGTCCATCCAGTTCCATCCCACCCAACGGAGGCTGACGCGCCCTGAGTCACCCAGGGCAGGCTGTGCAGCCACGGCCGTCTCTGTCGTGGTGGCTGAGGTTGTCCTTTGCTGGGCAGTGATCTGGCTCAAACACAGAATTAGTCGACTTCGCCATGCTCTGTGATCCCTGCAATGTCTGCCTGGGAAAAAGAAGCGGATTCTCCTATCTCGAACCATTTTGCCCCCTCCGCTACGAAGCAACCAATGGAGAATGGGCAGTAACGGGAATTCCTTTTTCCATAGAAGTACATGATACAAAGTAACTCTGTTAAGACACCCCCCAGGAGATGGAGTTGCCAGGTGTGTCCAATAGGAGGCAGAGTTGCTCCAAGTGGGGCTGCAAGAACATGTCATTCTCGAAACCTGCGACAGCTACCCCGTCACTGTGCACAGAACCCAGCCCAGCATCCCTACCTGTGGGGCCCCTTCCAGAAGCATCTGGGTAAAACGATCTGGAAAGTGAAGGGCCCAACCCGAGAGGACTTTGGTTTAATGACATTTAGGAGCTCCGAGAGCCCCCTCCTGGGAGCGGCTGGAGAGAGGAACTTTTCAATGGTTTGTTTGAAGGGAGGAGGTGTAGAACCAAGTGGAAATGGGCAGGGTGGGCTCACGGCCCCAGCGGTCTCCTCGTGGCCTCTCCAGGAATGAGCCATGGAGCGAGACGGATTCTTGCACCCGTTACTCACCGGGTGATGGCTTTCTTCTCCGAAAAGATCCTCAGGCAGAAATCGGCTTCCTGATGGGGCTCGAAGGTGCTGGGAATCAGGATGTACTCCCCAGGGGGCAGCTTGAACCTGTCCGAGACTTCTCTCAGGTTCACGAAGGTTTTGCTTCTGGCCTGGGAAGCGTGGTACCGGAAGAAGTCTTTGCTCAGGTGCTCCTCTTTGTCCGGGCACTGCAATGGGAAAGGTGCGGGCTGGGGCCGGGCCGCGGGCTCTGGGGTGTGGACCCGTGGAGGGTCTGAGAATTTCGAACCCAGAGGGCAAGCTCTGAGAGGCAGCTGGCCCCCGCCCACCTGGTAAATGGCGTAGCCGATGGTCAGCACGTCGGCGCCGAACCTCTTGAGCTTCCTTCGGTCCTTCTGCATCAGAGCCACAAGTATCGTGCACCCCTCCTGCCCCTCATCCTCCTCGGTCAGGGACAGCTTTATTTGTGGGTTGGTCCAAAAGGTATCTGCCGCGAGAAAAAGGCAGATCACTCTCCCCCCTTTTAGAGCGACGTGAAGGCCACACACACACAGACACAGACACCCCCCCCCCCCCACCAAGCAGCTCACCCCATCCTCCCAAACTGGGGCAGATAGTTTCTTCTCTCCCTGTTCCAGTCGCCCTCGTGCCCTACTTTCTGGACCCCACTGTGAGCGAGCAGCGTTTTTCTGCTCATTTCCACCTTCTTTGGAACCATGTGCCTTCTTGGGGGTCTGGTTGGTATGTTTGTGCCACCTGACTTTTCCCTTTGAGCATGTCAGGGGGGAGAGCGGGGCACCCGAAGCTGTGCCCGGTGCCTGCCCTGGGGCTTGTGCAGGTCGAGCAGAATCGGCCTCCCTCCCGGCTCCGAGGGCAAGTCCCGCTCTTGCCCCGGGAACTGGGACAAAGTGAGCCAGCCAGTCTCCAGGCAGGGTTGGTTCGAGGAATTCCCAACTAGAAGGACGTTGAGGACTTTGGTTTAATGACATTTAGGAGCTCTTGCTGTGACTATGAAGAAAGCCAGGCGCAGGAGGAAGTGAACAGAGGAAAGAGCGTGGAGCGGAGAATCACACACAGGCCGAAGGCTGCCCTGCTCCTCTGAACTTTGCGGTGACGCAGGACAACGGCCCTTTTCACGGCAGGACAAGCGTGCACTGTGTTTTCCACCACTTGTGGAAAATGACCCCAGTGGTAAAACTACGGTGTTTCCCGAGCCATTCCCACCCAGCTTGCTCCCAGGTCTCCTCAGCCCTCTGTCCGGCTCACGCCTGACATCCTACTACCCAACCCCGCCCGCAGCCAGGGTTTCTCTGGGGTCCTGGCCCTGACCCACTGCCGTCCCCAGGTTGGACAGGGAGAGTGGCGGGCAGGCTACCCACCCAGGAAGTTGCGGCAGCCCCCGGCCGTGGAGCCCCGCACCCAGCTTCCTTGGTGGACGGTGACCTCCCACCGGTGCGCAGCCCCGTCCTCCAGGGCGTTGGGCGTGAGGTTGCAGACCTCCACTTTGTCAAAATGGGCCGCGAAGTCGTCGAAAGCCATCCTGCAGGAAGCAGAGGGACTCGATGCAGCGGTGACGGCGATGGCGTGACGCCGTCACCAACACGCTCATCTGGCTACGGTGTCCGCCCCGTCCTCCCGGAGTGGAGACCGCAGGTGTGGGGAGACCAAAAATGCACCAAAAAAGTTAGGAAAAGGATTAGAAAAGTAATTTTTAAAAAGGTAAAAATGTAGGTTGATTATCTAAGTGCTACAGAGTCAGGGAAGTTCGGTGAAGCAGGAGGGTGCAGGGCGGGTGCCAACAGGGAGTCAGTGCATTAGGGGGAGGCCTCGCTGACCAGGTGTGGAGACCGAGGACGTTCGTCTGCACGGGGCCTCCCGCAGCGGGTTCCTCCTTTCGGCCAGGTTCGAGGGACACAGGTGGGCTTTCTTCTGCAAGTCTGGCTCTTTTCATGTAACTCACTCACCCAGAGCCTCTGTACCCCAAATTTAAGGTCAGTTTGTCTCTAATGTCCAATTTCACAGCTTGTCCATCTCTCAAATACTCTGCTGGGTTTCCACAATTTTTTCTACTTTCCACTCATGGTTCCTGAGGCAGAGATGGCAAAGCCTGCCCCCCAGAACAGGGCTGGGGACGGCACCCCGCCCCCTCCGCCTAAGGGGAGAGGTGAGCAGTGATGTGTCACCTCTGGGTCAAGGCTTTTAGGAAGTGGAGATGTCTTCTCCAATCTCCCCCTTTCCCCCCCTGCTGCTGGCTTCCTGTGGATGACACTGTGACCCCAGGGACAGCAGAGCCACACAGTGAGAAGAGCTTGGGTCCCTGAATCACCGCCTGGAGGCGGCTACCACAGAATAAGAGTGGCCTCCTGGACCGTGACAACCAGTGAGAGGCCAGCTGGATTGCATTTGTGTCTTCATACATTTTGAGCCTATTTGTTACAGCAGCTGGTGTTACCCTAGGTCCTTGAGGTATGGAGCCACCGTAGCAGTTCTAAATAGGTGATACCCGCTTAGCCATTGGGCAGGAGGTAGGAAGGAAATATTGGAGCTGGAGAACAGACATCCATGCTGTGGATGGTGAAATAATTGCTAAATCTGTTATCTGTAAACACATGAAGACAGAGCAGGTAAGTGCCCCCAGGGCTGTGCTCTGGGGATAGAATGGAAAAAGCTGAAATATTCAGGCTGCCGGTTTTCGCTACTTGTATTTAATATGGTGTCACAAGAAAGAGACAATCTTAGGCAGAAATAGGCTGGTGTAAGCATGTGACGGTAAAGACAGCCAGAGGTCGGAGAGTGCGGCCCGGCAGGGTCGGAAGAGCCCGCGGTTTCTGGACCCCACGGGAAGAAAGAACTAAGATTAAAAAACACCTTCTGGAACAAAGGCCCACTAACCATTTCTTGTTTAACTTGAGCAAAATAGTATCAGAGGTGTAGAAACACGGAACAGACTGACAGCTGTCGGGGGTGGGGCGAAGGTTGGGCTCGGCTGAAAGAAGGGGAAGGGGGCAGAGGAAGAACATCTCTGCACTTGACCCAGAGCTCGAAGAAGTGGGGGCCACTGGGACAACTGTAAAACAATACAGTGTAATCTTTTGGAAACAATAAATTTAAAAAATGTTCTCATTGAACGAAGAGTTTCAGTCTAGATTAGGCATAGTTCCTTCTCACTCAGGTCTCTGTTTTTGGACTGTCTCCAGGAAACCGCTCTCCAGGGTCCCTGTCCCCAAGGTGGGTGTGCAGGGAGAAGCCTGTGAACCCCGGGCCACGGGCCTTCACACTCCCCGTGCAAAGTCGGAGGGCTCAGGGAGGGGTGCTGGAGGCCCTGCCCCTCATCCTCTGGATCACTGCAGGTCCCTGAGACCCCAATAAGCCTGGAGGTGGGGTGAGCTCCCCAAAGCATAACAGATTACGTTCTCTGCCAACCTGGGTGCATAGAAGGAGTTTGAGACAGAATTGTTTGATTTACACTGGTAAATAACAGGAAGGAAGGAAGGAAGGAAGGAAGGGAGGGAGGGAGGGAGGGAAGGCTCCTTGTACCCGAGGGCCATGGGACGCACTCACTCAGGGGGGGTCAACATGGAAATGGACACAGAGGCAGCACTGTACCAGAACTCTCCGTCGTCAAGAGCGGTGTGATGCAGGCGCTGTTGCTCAGCTGGGCTGACTGCACGCCACTCGGGGGAGCTGGGAGCAAACACAGTCAGTGTCAGGGTCAAGTGCAGCAGCCAAACCTCAGCAGCTTCAGGTGGAGGAGTGGCCCCACCCTGGGAGCCACGTGTGTGTTTGGAGGGAACAGATCCGGGTCAGTGGCTACTAACTGGGCCCCAGAGATGTGCTGGGGACCCTCAGGCTGGCCGGCCGCTGATGGGGAAAGGCCCTTAAGACCACTGTCCCCCCCCCCCCCCCCCCGCATGGACCACGATCACAGGACCGTCACAGTGCAGCACAGAGAGCCCGACTGGACCTGCCCAGGGGGTTGAAAGGCGTGGCCTGGAGCACGGGTCTGACCCCTCCTCTTTGTTCATAAGCTGACCCTTTGAGAAGTGATAATAATGCCTTATGCTCACCCACACTGGGGGTTTAGTGTGCCAAGTACCCCCTTTGCCTGGCTCTCTAGGCAGCCAGCGAGGGTTCACACCCGCCCTGTGGACTAGAGGGCTCAGGCGAGCAGCCCCCAAGTCCACTGTGTCTCTGCGACCCCACGATGGCCCCCACACGGGTCAGACCGAGTCATTGGCACTGTGGTGCCGTAGCCACTGTGGCTGCCTCACCCCGCTCCCCCCAACCCGCAGATCTTGACCTGAGGTGGGGCTGCTGGGGAGGAACATCTTTCCGGGGTGTGGAAGGCCCCCACCGGGGCGAGTGCCCTCACTGACAGCAACTTCGTCACAGCAAATTAAAGGGAAGCACTAAGAATCGTCCTTGAGAACCAAGTCGGACAGCCAGGGGGACCTGAGGGCCGAGGTCAGGTGCCGGGAGGCAGGACAGGGCCCTGGATAAGAGGGCTGTGGGCAAACGAACGGCTCCTTCTTCGACCCCTACCCAGGCCAGCCTGGCCCCAGGACCCGTGAACACCCAGAGGGGCGATCCGCCAGAGGGAGGGGACGGGGACCGACCTGTCGCTCCAGGACCCACTCCACTCCACCTGGCCCCACGGGTTCCGCACTCGGATGAGCTTGGTTCTCCGGCCTCGAAAGTTTACCTGGAAGAGAAAGCACCGGACTACTGTGGAATGGAAAGTTGGTCTCCGAGCTCCAGCAGGGCCTGGCGCTGCCGAGAGCCCCGTGACTACGGCAACATGCCGGAGACATGTCCAAACTCATCACTTCTTCACGGGCCCTGGGAACTTTCTAATTCCTGTTGAACCGAATGGCTTGTGTTACCAGCGATGTTATATTGATCCCCCCGGGCTGACGATGCTGAATCCGGGAAACAAAGTAGAATTGTGGTTAGTGAGGAATTAGTCCACACGAATCTTCAAACGAATGAGTTTTCTCTCTAGACTCGTCTCTCCCTAGAGATGGGGCCAGGTCTTACTGGTCTGTGTGTCCTCAGCACCCAGCACAGTGACTGGAGAGCTTGCAGGAACTGTTAGTCACGTGCACACAATGGCATTTCAGTCACTGACGAACCGAGCACAGCAGGTGGCCCACCGGAGGGCCGAGGTGTGCAGCAGCCCGTCCCACCCAGGTTGCTGTGAGGGCGCTCGCTCTGCGCTGTTCGTCCAGCAGTGACAGTGCCGCACCGCACACCCCTCAGAACGGCTCTCGCTGAGAACGCAGCGGAGTGCTCAGAAGGTCGGCGTCTCAGGGCTGTACTGCATTTCCTCCAGCCTCAGCACCTCACTCACAGACCAGGGACCAGAACATGAACGCACACTGGGAATTCACGCAGCAATAAGCAAAAGTCACTTCCCAGCTCTCTAACTCCCATTAGGCCCCCCAATCAGGGGTGACGGGGGTCTCTGCTGTGCAGAAGGAGAACCCTTGAGCTGGAGAAAGAAGACGCGTCTGCTGTGACTTCTGCCCTGCTCTGCAGCAGCGAAGGGACGGGTGCCCTGTGCAGAGATTCTGGAGGGAGGAGGGTGGACGAAATGCACCAGCTGCCGGACACCCGACTCTCAGAATGCGTGGCCTCGTGTGCGTGGTGCCAGTTGTATTTTCACGAGAAAGCATCCTTTGTCAGTGCGCCCTCTCGGGTGCACCGTTCCGGGGGGTCACGAAGGAAGACAAGCAGGGTGGGTGACATCCTTGCAGGTGGAGAGAAAAAAAGTGCACTTGGACAGAGCGTCGCAGGAGATGGAGAGTTTCTTTGGTTACTTGGAAGAGTATTTAGGTCTAATGTTAAAAATCACAGCCTCCTCCAATGAGTGACCAGCGAGGCCTGGGGAGAAGGTGGAGGAGAGGAGCCGACGCTAAATCCTAAATGCCCCGGTGGGGGGGGGGGCATCACCCACCTCGACCGCTCTGCTCAGGGTCCCGGTGCGGTGATGAGGGTGCTTCCTGCTGCACGCTTCATTCCCACTCACGTGGAGAGTGATCGAAGCGTGGGCAGCGACAGGCAGAGGCCGCAGTGCCTGTGCCCGCCACACACTGGTCTGAGACTTGTCTGCAGACTGAGTGCACCACCACCGGCCCTGGGACTCGCTGGACTGGAGCCCGAGGGGGTGCAGCGGCGGCTTCTTGTCTTCCTCCCTGTCCTGCGCCCTGCTCGTTCCCACGTGTCCCACAAGGGGCTCCCTTCCAAACCTGAGCCCTCACCAGGTGGGCCCCACCCCAGACAATAGCTGTGGGGAAGAGTCCCCGTGATGACTGGTTGCACGTGTCCACCTGACTGGGTCGAGGGGACCCCGGTGTTTGGTCATACACGATTCCGGGTGCATCTGTGAGGGCGTTTTAGGGTGAGGTTAGCATTTGGTTCGGTGCAGCGGACGGCCGTCCCACTGTCGCTGGGGCCTGTGCCACCAGCTGAAGGTCAGAATGGAAGAAAAAAGTGGAGAAAGGAAGAATTTGTGCTCTCTACCTGAGGGCAGGCTGGGACTTTGGTGCCCTTCTACCGTTGCACTTGGCCTTACAGCGTCGCTTCTCCTGGTTCTCGGGCCTTTCTTTGCACTTGGACTAGAACTACACTACCAGCTTGCCAGCTAACAGATGGCAGGTCACAGGACTTCTCAGCCTCCATGAGCACGGGAGCCAACTCCTCATGATAAATCTCAATCTCTAGGTCCATTTCTCGGTCTCTCTGTTTCTCTGTCTGTCTGTCTCTCTCTACCTCTGTCTGTCCGTTTCTCTGTCTGTCTGTCTCTCTCTACCTCTAGCCCTGTCTCCTATTGGTCCTGACTCTTACAGGACTGGGACTGGGGAAGGACATACAAATCCAAGACCAGGCTCTCACACAGGTGAAGCGAGTCTGGCGCTGTGATGGAGGCGCACGCTTCTCTCCTGCCCGCCTCGCTGTTCTGCGCCCCGGCCTGGCTCTTTCAATGGGCCCTGCTCTGCAACACCTAGAAGTGGGCTTGAGCCGTCTGTCACTAAGTGAGCACAGGGGACAGGCATTGCTGAGTCCGTCCTTGTGCCCTGTCCACAGGGGTTCACGTCACCTACCTGGTCAATTCCCGTCACAGTGTAGGCGTGGCCCTTAATAAGACCAAAAGGCGTTCGGGCTTCTGATTCTGCGGAGTTTCTGATCTAAAACACACAAGAGCAGCGTTGGTCCCATCGGGTAAGTCAGGCCCGTGCTTCCCCACCAGATGGCGCTCCAGGCCCACCGGGCCTCTCCGGTGCCCCGAGGGGAGGGCCCTGTGCCCAGGGCATGTGCACTGGGCACACGGGACACGCCGAGGTGGTCAGCAGTGACATCCGGCAACGCCCTTCCAGGTGAGGAGACCCCCAGCAATCAGTTTCCTCTTCCGCCTCCAAACACAACGACTTGGCCGGCCCGTCACGGGGCAGCACGCGAGAGAAGCGCCATCGCACACACCAGGGGGCGGCAGGAAGCCCAGGACGGCGTTCTGTGCGGCTCCATGTCACACGCGCGCAGGGAGGAAACAAACTGTTTACCAGCAGGAACGAAGGCCCAAGAGGAAACAGAAAACTCGCGTAGGTTTCAGAAACACACGAGGTAAAATCATCCATGTGCGTGTACCTATAAAAACTCTTAAAAGGCTGTTAGGTTTCTCTCTGCCGACGTGTTTTTTCATGATAGAGGAAGCAAAATAAACAGGTTCCTAGGAAGTATACAGGAAGGTCCAGTGTAGTGACGCCAAGCCGACCCGCCCCTGTTTGTGCCTGTGTGTGCACGTGCCCATTTGTGGGAGCCAGGGGGAGGGCGAGGGCCTGGGTCAGGCCGCGTGGGGCGGGGGTGGGGGAGAGGCGGCGATGTGCCCACAGGGCAATCTCAGGGTCGTTCCCCCTGATACAGCGAGTACACCTTACCTTCGCAATGTGAAAAACGTCACAGAAAAGCTTTTGTCTTAATTAAATAAACATTTACTTAAAATGAATACCCCCTCCCCCCATTGAAAGTCATGCCCCCCCCCCCCCCCCCCGGCATGCGGCCAGGGCACCTGGCTCAGACCGCTGGCCCTGGCCGCACGCAGCCCAGTGCCCGAGCAGGAGGCACTTACATCAATGGAGCAGCCCACCAGGGAGCCCCTCTTCAAGGCCTTCTCCAGAATCTCACAGAAGTTCTCCGGAGCCTCTCTAGTTGCGAAGGTCTCTGCCACGCCCCCGGTGAAGTCCTCCATGGCCTCGATGGTGCTGCCTCCCTTCAGAGCCTCGTAGCTCCCGTTCAGCCTGCAGGGACGCGGGAGAGCGTGGGAACTGCGGCCGGGAACAGCGCGGCCACCAGGTGGCGCCCCCAGCCAGTCTTTCCCCAACTCTCCGCCGCAAAGCCCAGGCCGCGGGCTGCGGAGGGAGGGTGGGATGGGAAGTGGGGATAGGGATCGAGTTCGCTCGGAGCTCCACAGAAACAAGACGCCCCGAGCGCGCCTCGAAGACAGCAGCGCGGTGTGTTGGTGAAGAGCATGGACTCTGGCCCCCGACTGGATGCAGGTTCGAGTTCCAGCCCCACCACTTAAAAGCGCAGTAATCTTGGGCAACTCGCTTCCCTAATTTACAGAACAACCGGACGGCTGTATTCTCCCTCCCAGGGCTGCTGTGAGGTTTAAATGAGAGTCTCTCTCTCTGCTCACAGACACCAGGGCTCAACCGCGCAGACAGAATGGACGAATGTTCTCTGTACGACCTTACTAGGCCAGCACCTCTCTCCTCTCGCTTCAGTGAGCCGGCCTCATAGACTGGGAACACGGCTAGGTGCTGTCAGGCTGCGTCTCCTCCCCGTACCCCTCCTGCCCCCAGATGCCTGTTCTGTGCTGTGGGGTCCGTGGGTCTGAGAAATGCATGGTGTCGGGCGCTCCCAATTCCAGTATCTGGCAGAATAGTTTCCCTGCCCTAAAGGAATCTCCCGGGCTCCCCCTGCTCACCCCTCCCTCCCTCCCCGGAGCTCCTGGCAACCGCTGATCATGGTTTCCAGAGTTGTCTCCATGGTTTCCATTCTGTCTCCATAGTTTTCCTTTCCAGATGTCACAGAGTTGGAATCATACAGTAGGTGGCCTTCTCAGTTGGCGTCTGTCACTTAGTAAATGTGCATTTAAGATTCTTATCTGTCTTTTCATGGCTCGATAGCTCATTTCTTGGTATCACTGAATAGTATTTCGTTGTCTGGATGGGCCACGGTTTGTCTATCCCTTTGTTTACTGAAGGACCTCTTGCTGACTTCTAATTCTGGATGATGACGAATAAATCTGCTCTAAACGTCTGTGTGACGGCTGTTATGTGGACACAACTCTTAACCTGACTCATTTGCCAAGGAGTGCAGTGGCTGGATGATTTGGGAAGACTGTATTTAGCTTTCGAAGAAACCATCAAGGTGTCTGCCAAGATGGCAGAGCCATTCTGCACCCTCGGCAGCAATGAATGGGGGCTCCCATTATCCCACACCCTTGTCCACTCCGTGCTGCAGGCGTGTGTTGATGTTTGCTTTAATTTGCAGTTTCCCAATGACATCGAATACCTTTCCACGATCTCATTGGCCGTTTGTCCATCCCTTTGGGTGAGGTGTCCTCCCCGCCATGTTGACCACTTTTAATGATTGAAAAATAAACACAGATTTTTCTCTGTAGGAAAGCGGTTCTCTTCTCTCTGAGGCCTTACCCTTCACATCCCGCTGACTCCCACTAGCTGGAGTCCCTGGCCCACCTTTCCCACAACGATTTCCCAGTATTAGCCTCACTGAGAAGGAAGCTGGGCCGACCCAGCCCCGGGCACCACCAGAGCAGCCCTTGGAGAGGATCCTGTGGAAGAGAGTCCTCCCCGAGGGCAGAGCCAAAGCTGGGAGCCTCCCTCTGTGGCCGGAAGGAGTGCCCCCTTGGCCCGCCTCAAGCCTGTCCTGTGTCACTGAGGGCACCACAGAGCCAGGAGAGGCAGGGGGCAAAGGAGCCCCTCTGGGGCTTCTCCAAGGCCTCACATTCTGTCCTGTCGACTTCAGGGTGAGCAGAACCCAGCGAGCAGAACCTCATTTCATTTTAGGCACTGCGTGCCCCACCCGGAGGCAGAGGCCTGGAGCTCTTCCTCGTTCCTGTCTCTGAAGACGGGACTCCCCAGTTTGAACATCTCGGGGAGCTGAGAGGGACCCTCCCCCACCACGGGCAGGGGGAGCCCTGCTGCCGTCTGAGCACAGAACTCCGGCTGCTGTGGCTTTCCCCTGACCTCCAGCCACCGAGGGTAATGAGGCCAAGAATGGGGGGCCTTGTTTGCATTTCTGCAAGGCACCTGGGCTGTCAGATCTGTAGAGACAGAAAGTGGAAGGGCCGGCTGGGGCCGGGGGTGAGGCATGAGCGTGTAAGGGGTGCAGACTGGTAGCTCTGCCGCCTGAAACCATTGCAGAGACGGAAGGCGGTGACGGTCGCACGGCAGTGTGAATGCACCTAACAATGGTCAAAAGGGTGCATTTTAGCACAATTTTTTAATGGAAAGAAAGGAGCATTCTGAGAGGAAAATGATGTGATGCCTGTCCACGGGGTAGCAGCCCGGAGGACTGAGCCGCGGTGGCGGGGTCTGGCAGGGGGCCGGGAGGACCAGGTGTTCTCAGCCCACCCGCATTCCCCTCTGCTCGCCTCCCAGCTCTGCCCACGGCCGCATTTGTGACCCAGGAGAGGAGGGGACCGTGTGGCACCGCTGTGCAGGAGGCTGGGCACACCGATGCCTCGACAGGAAAGTCGCTCGTTCCCCACCTCCAGCCCCGAGGGAGCCACACCTGTAACCCCCAGCTCGGTCTTCCCTCCACAGAAAGCGCATGAGAGGCACAAGGGGGGGGGGTGCAGAGCGGTTCGCGCTGGCACCCGCGCTCACGGGGCGGGGCGGTACTCACTTGGCGTAGGCTTTCTCCAGCAAGGCGCTCCAGAACTCGTTGTGGTCGGCGGAGTGGAGGAAGATCAGGCGGTCCCTGAAGGTGGGCAGTCGGTCATCCACCACCACGTCCAGCCACTCACTGTGCTGCCAGAACTGGGGCGGGGGGAAATTAGGGGGAGTCACACGCAGGCCCCGCCCTATTTGCAAATGCGCATCACTTTGCTTTTCCTCCGAGGGACCAAACCGCCCTGAGGGTCCCGAGGGGACGTCACATGTGGGCTCTGTGGGCTCCGTGATGGGACCCCCTGGATGGGGTGAGGGCATCTGCCCCTGCCCCTGACATTGGCTCAAAGACTTGGTGCGGACCCCTCACAGCCAGCGGAAGCAGGACGGCGGCACGTGGACACTGCACGGCGTCCTGATGGGCCCTTTCTTTATCAAACCCGGACCGGCAGGGCTTGGTCCGGTCCCCCCGCGCACGCACACACAGGCCCCGTCTCAGCCGCCCCTGCATCTGCGTTCCCTCCTTGCTCGGAGGTGGAGCCTCCATCCTGGTGTTCTGCCCGTTCTCCTTCAGAGAGAGGCCGTGCTGAGACAGACGGGCCCTCGCGCCAGGCTCAGACTGGAGGGGAGTGTGTGCACACACGGGTGCGTGTGCATGTGTGCTGACGTGCTACACACGTGCGTTTGTACAGGGGACAGGCAGGGCTCTGCCCTCTACAGGGCCCAGCAGATGACGTCTCTGCTCCTCTGTGTTCAGTCTCTAAGCTCACTCAGGTCTCCACGTCTGCATTTCCTCCAGAAGGAGACTCTCAGTTTATGAGAAAGAATCTGGTGCCCAACAGGTAGCGGAGTTTTAGGCCACATATGCCTGAAGCACAAGGACCCCTGATCCTCCCTTAACATCGGACCTCCAGGTTTGCCAAAACGTCAGTGTCAGCTTTGCTGCCGGCTTCTGAGAGGACTGGCCTTGTCCAGCACGTGCGGAGGTCGCCCATGACAAGTGTGCCCTTTGGGATGCCGCTGTCACCCAGCCAGGGTGGCTTTCCTTCAGGGCTTCCCAGCAGCCAAGGACGTCCCTGGCGTCACGCTGGACCCCGAGAGGCACGGCCACGGCCAGGCCCCACTTACCTGGAAGTGGAATATGCCGGCATAGCCGGGGCCAAAGCTCTGATCTTGGGGGACGACTCTCGCCAGCGCTTTTTCGTTAAGTGTGAGGGAGGCGACGGCGGCCAGCAGCCAGCAGTCACCTGCAAGACACAAGTTGGAAACCGTGGTTTTGGCTGCTCACCCCTAGGGAATGGGGAAGACGGGGGCGTGCTGGGAGGGGCCGCGTCTGTAGCGCGGGAAGAGAGCGGACAGGTGCCAGCAGATACCTGGGGCCTCCCCTCTGCCCCCCTTCCTGCTCTCCTGCCCCAGTCCTCGGGCACAGCTGTCCCTGCCACGGCGGTGTCGTGGCCCATGCTGACTCGGCTGTCAGACTATGCTCCATAAGCATCGTCTGTGTGACGTTCTGTGACGCCCGGTCCAGAGGACCAAGGCTCAGACTTCAGTGTCAGCGTGGCCTGGTGGTAGGTATCGCAGCCCCCGGGCCCCTCAGAAACAGCCCCTGCGGTGCCTGGGGACACGTTTCCGGGACCGCCCCCCCGCCCAGGCTCGGTCATAGGTAATGGTAGCTCCGGGATCCACTGGCTTTCAGTGACTGTGGGGTTTCGAGACTTGTGGATTAGTCATGCACTGATTTCTTCAGTTGTCTGTTTGTGTTAGCACACAATGACAGGGCAAGGCAAACGCGAGTCAGATCTCAGACAGTATCTTGTGTGTGTCATTCCCGGCTCCCACAGGAAGGCCCGGGCCACTCCAGGGTCACTGGGCTCCAATCCTGGAGCAGCTGAGCCCCTGGTGGGGTGGGGAAGGAGGAGCTGAAGTGGTGGCCGAGCGGGTCCCCCAGCCCCACTCCCGGTGCTGCTCCCGCTGTGGCCACAGCTCAGAGGCCGGGCCCCACTGGCCCCCGCGGGGCCCTCTGCCCAGACTGTCACCAGGTGCTCCCTCTGCTCCCACTTACCGAGCTCCCCCTGGCAGATGTCCGTCCTGGTGGCCCCTCCAAGAATGAATTCTGGATTTTTCACTATTTCCTGGAAGAATGGGATTATTATTCAAGGAGGGCCCACCATGGGGAGGCGCAGGGTCCCTCTTCTTTCTCAGAGCAGAGGGCTGTTTCCTGGTATTGGGTTTTCTTGCCTGCGGGTGGGGGGCCACGAGGAGGTGAAAGGTGGCCGCAGCTCTGTACCCCACAATCCCAGGCCTTCTGCGGTAGATCACCTCCCTGGGGAGAGGTCCTGCCTTCTGAGCCCCTCAGCTCAGTCCTGCGGCCAAAGCAGGATGTCACCAGGCCCTGAGGCTTCCCTGGCCACTCAGGCCCTGGGTCAGGTGTCAGGTGCCCCGGGTTCAAATCCCAGCTCCCCATTTATGTGCCTCTGTGGGCTCCAAACGCATGTCAGAGGGAGTCACACATACAGCTTGGTGCCCGGGCTTAAACACAAGTCCCCACTCAGGCTACCCAGCTTCCTCCTTTTTCAAAATATGCATTTAACTATAGTTTTTTAAGTATAGTTTTTAAGTATATCTATACCGTAGTGACAGATATGTACATATATGCCTCATATAATTTACCAAATGCATTAGGTACATTTTATTATATATTATACACAATCAGTCATGTCTATTATGTGTATATAATAAAATCATTCGTCTACATGAATACATAGATTAGATAGAAGGATAAGTATAAAACATCAACATGAAAGCATTTAAAAGCAATTGTACAAAATTACATATTCTCTCCACCGTTCGAGACACCAGGCTCCGTCCCTGGCACAGACCATAGCGAAGAACAAGAGAGAAAGTCCCTGCCAAGTGGGACTTAGGGGATCAGGCCCTAGGCCAGCGGAGGGACACGCAGGTTCCGGAGGGGTGAGGGCCAGGTCAGAGAAGGGCGGAGTGGGCGGGGCTGGTATAGTGGGCGTGGTCAGGGGCCCGGGGAGGCGGCCTAAGGGGAGGCGGCCAGTTGTTTGGGGAGTCCCGCGAAGGTCCAGCAAGAGGCCGTCTGGCCATGGTGGGTGCCCGATCATTTCAACTGGGTCGGAATGCAGAGTGAGGAAAGGACTTTCCTACCCATTTCCAGAAACTGGGGACGGAAGCTGCACCCCCCAATCCCCCCGCCACTCCGTGTATGTGGACGAGGCCTGGGGAGGGTTCTGCCCTGAACTGCTGCTTCCCCTGTGGTCTGCGCCCAGAGAATCAGGAGTAGGGTGGTGGTGGCGAGTTCTCTGGAGGACAGGGGCTTCCCCAGGACCAGGCTCCAGTGTGCAACGACGCGCCCCCTTTGCAGGCTGCAGGGCGTTCAGCCACATGGAGGTGGGCTCCTGGGCATCTGTCTGCAAGGGGAGCACTGAGGTGGGGCTGTCGGTTCTTAACAGGTCCCAGTAGACTCAGCCAGGAGAGTTTACGGAGAACGCCAGTGCTCCGGGCACCACGGAGCCAGGTCTGGCAGAGGTCCCCCGAGATCCCAGTACGCAGCCCCTTGCCTTCCAGCCAGGGAATCTGGGGTCCTGTTACTACCTCACCCAGTCTCCAGCACTGTGGGGCGGGTGGCAGGGGGTCGGGGGGGCAGCTCTTTCTCAGGGAGCCTGTGCAGAGCTCTCCCACCAATGCAGTGCAGAAAGGGGGTGCTCTCTCCTTGCTGACCTCGGCTCCCAGGGGTGCTGCGGAGGCTTCGACCGGCCCAGGGGACGGTGCGAGGCAGGCATGTGTGAGGTCCCAGCAGCGGCCCCTGGGCGGGCAGAGGCTCTGGGTAGGTCACCCACCTCCTCCAGGTTTTGCTCTCCTCTCTCATGTGATGCACAGGCCACCCTCCTCCAACTTGGACTTCCTGGGCCCCTCCCAGAATCTGTACGGGAGCCTCTGCCCCAAAGGGCACCCAGAGGTCCCCACAGCCCCCCAGCCCACTCCAGGGCCTGAACAAGTGATACTCGCACTGCCGTGGCTACTCAGCCGGGATGTAAACCGGGCTCTGGGGCTGGTGACCACCACCCCCCACAAGCCCATGCCAGGCTCAGCCTCCCCAGCTGTGGACGAAGCAGACCCCCCTCCTTCTGCCTCACTGCCCTCCCCCCCCACCTTCTGCGGGCCTGGCTGGCCACCTGCACTGCAGTGGTCACGGCCTCCCAGCTCCCAGCTCCCAGTGGGCTGTCTTTATCCCGGAGAGTTTTATCACACAGCATCCAACGGTGGGTGGGCGGGGGAAAATGGGAAAGGAGAGGACTAGCAACTCTTGCCCGGCGAACACAGATTACCTGTCAGGTGTCCACCGGCAAGGCCCTGGACGTGTGGGGACGCCCTGTCTGCCCGGCATTTGCATGACACAGAGCATGCGTGTGCCCATCGGGCATTCTGTGCTCGTGTGTGCTGGAGGCGGCTGTGCTGTGTGCTAGGCATGTGTGACCTGTGTAGGCCTGTGGGACCCCTGTGCCCACCCGTGTGTCCCATGAGGTTGCCTGTGTGCCCAGGCCCTGCATACATGTGCAGGCCCATGAGAATGTCTGATCATGTGAAATGCTATGCTGGGGCTTGAGGTCAGGGGTCACCTGAAACGGCAGCCCCGGGACGGGAAGATCAGAGGGGTCTTGACAAACCCAACGGGAGCCCAGCCTGCAGCTGGGTACCTGGAGCGGGGCGGGCCTGGGCGCCACCAAGCGGTGCTCCTGGGGACCGAGGACCCAGCAGCGTCCAGGTCCTGGAAAGGGGGCTTTCAGGGCCTGCTCTGTTCAGGTTTCGCACCGTCCTCCAGGGCTGAGCCCAGCACAGACGTCTCTCCCAGTGATTTATTCCACAGGGGAAAAGGCGCGTTTCCAAAGCGATGGGGCAGCTGCTCCCAGCTGCTGACAGCTGTGCGCTGGTCCTGGCGGGGACTCGGGGGTGTCTCAGGGCGGCCGACAGCCTCTGGGGGCGAGCCTGCCATGCTGGGAGGTCACGGCCACGCGCTGTGGTGCACGCAGGAGGCTGGCGGGGGGCCACAGGAGCATGACTGGGTGTGTGGGGCTGAGGCTGAGAAGTGAGGGAGGGGTTGCAGGGAAGACAGCAGATGGTTTCAGGCAGACAGCACGGTTGGGAGAAAACCAAGGCCAAGGCACTGTGAGCGGAGCAAGTCAGCCTGCTGGCCCAGGAGGGCAGGCCATGGGTGGACTGCCCCTCCCCCACCTGTCTGTTGACCCTCCATCAGGCTGGGAAAGACACTGGTCCCAGACCAGCTCCACTCACTCAGACCCAAGGCCTCACTATGAGGCTTGACGGAGACCACGCCCACTGGGGGTGGACCTCACCTTTCCCAGCGAGCCGGTCACCACACCCCTGCGGCAGGTTGCCGGGCACCCACCGCAGTGACTCCTGGCCCTCCTGGCTGCCCCTTGCCCTGTGATGTGCCCCTGAGCTTTCTGGTTCCGGGTGCTCTTGCATGCCACCGCCCTGACGCCAAGCACAGCTGTGTTTGACAAGAAGGTGGTGCTGGGCGGGCACCGTGCCCGCGTCTCACTGGGCGGCCCACAGCTGCTGCGGGAACTCACCGCAGACACGTGTTGAACCGCAAAGCAGACAGCGCTCCAGCCACAGGCCTGGGGGCGGTGGGGAGGGCCCTGTGTCCCCCAGCCAGCGACCTGGAGGTCCATCCTGCAAGTGGAGCCTCAGTCCCCAGGCCCACACCTTGCTCCCAGACCCCAGCAGTCTGTGAGGTACAATGCAAAGCCCCCACATGCCCCCGACTCCCTCAACAAGAAACAGAGCTGAGTGCCTGGGAAGCAGCTGAGGCTGTCCGGCCGCGGTCTTGGAGAAACTCCAGTTTTGGCAAAGACAGGGAACTGCAGGCTGCGGGCTGGTCCTCGGAGCCAGGGACCGGCGGTGTGGAAGGCAAGGGTGGGGGCCCCTGGACCGGAGGGGGCTGGGGTTGGTTTACGGACACAGGTGGGCCTGTCGGCCCTCTGCAGAGTACTCGAGGGGCCCTCCCAGCTGCAGAGCGACTGTGTGCTCGGCTGAGCCTTCCTGGGGCCACCCCACACCCCGTGGCTCTTTCTGCCTGATCCTGGCCCTTCCCTGCCCCAGGCGTTGATCCTAAGAGCTCCCTGACAGATGAAAAGAGCATCGGGTGCCCCACAGGCTAATTTTGTCTGGGGTCGGAGAGATGCTCATCTCACTGTAAGAGGTGCTGCGTCTTGGGGGCAGAGGTGGCTTTTGTCGGCCTGGAAGAACATAAGCAGGAGGCTGGGAATGGCTGCCCAGGTGGGGCACACCCCTGCCTGCTCTGCCACAGTCACATTGTGCGTCCGGCCAACGCGGTGGCGTCCCCACTCCATCAGGAAGCTGTGTGTTAGTGACTGAGGTGACCAGCACCCCTGGGCTGCCACGTCCCAGCCCCATGTGCTCCTCCGAGTCCGGTCTGCTCTCGGGGACATAACGGTGCCCAGTTCTCAGGGTTGTTTGAATTAAGGGAGATAATCCTGGTCAACAGCAGATGTTCCCCTGGCTGTAGTGACTGTTGGCTGTTGCCTTGGTGACTGTAGGCTGTTACCAGCCTTTTGAAAGAGCTGGATGGTGCACACAGCTGAGGGCGCAGTGGGGCTCACAGAACGGGACTGAGAGGAGGAAGAGCACAGGCGGCTGCACAGACTTTCCCGCTAAAACAGCATCGGTGCTGAGACAGGGACCACAGGGCACTGGCCGTGCAGGGAGGCCACTGAGCAGGGGTCCAAGGTTCCCAGCAGAGAAAGGCCTTCCAGGCCAAGGTGGCATGCCAGCCGAACAGGACCGGCTGCCGTGAGAGCGGAGACCAGGGGGACGCGGCACCGGCCCAGGCCAGCCGGCAGCAGGGGGAGCCCCGCCTTATTGCTAGGCAACGCCAAGCCCCGTGGGCGTGCTGGGGAGGGGGCATGAGCCCCGGAGGCAGGTAGAGAAGACTGGAGGCAGGGAGACCAGGCAGCAGGGAAGAAGCTACTGGGACTTCTCAGAAGGAAGGCTTAGCCGTCCTGAGATAGCCTTGGCAGACAGGAAAGCACCAGAGAACCCGCAGCAGCTTACGTGTGGACCAGGGCGGGACGGCATGCAGGTGAGCACACGTACACAGACGCATGCGCAAAATGCATGCACACACGTGCTCACACACGCACACACAGCTGCCAACAGGAACTAGCAATAAAACGCTCATGAGGCATCGATAACTGTGTGTCCTCTGGGCCGGGCCTGAGAGCCCAGAGGTGTTTGTGTCCAATGTTGGTGGTATTTGAATGTAGGGAGACAGGGAGGAGACAGACATGACGAACCCTGGTCTCACATGTAAGATGAGACCCGGGGTTGATGACGATGAAGAAAATGATGATGATGGCGGCACCAGTGAGAGGAGTAGAGTAATAGCCATGATTTACTAAGAACACCCGTGAACTGGACTTTGGGCCCACCTTGGCCATCGCTGACCCACTCGGCAGGTGAGGAGACTGAGGCTCGGGCAGTGCAGTGACGTGACCGCAGTCACGGGCACCTCGGTGGCAGGGCGGGAGCACACGCAGCCTCACCTCTGGGTCCCGAACTCTCAGCGCTCTCCTATCCCCACGGGACGGCTCCCAGGCCGGCCCCCACCCCGAAGGAATGCGAGCCCTCGCGCCAGGCAGAGGCTGGGCCCTGACTAAGCCAGCGCGACAAAGATCGACTCCTCGTCCCGGGCACCAGCTGGTGTCCCTTGGGACCTCCAGACTGTCCGGTGGGGCGGCGTGACGATGGCTCCCTCCCAGGAAGGGGGACTCGTGGTTTGGGGAAAGAACCCCCTCCCTGGTTTTCTCCCCATCACACCTGTGCTGGGCACCTGCTGACTGAGCGTCTGCTCCACAGAGCACGCAAGTGGGGCCAGAGGCTCCGAGTACCTTGCATGGGTCACCCCAGCCTTAGCACCCATGGGGAGGTGGGGGTGGTTCTGAAATGCCCCCCCCCCCCCGCCATCTCTGCAAGTCTCCTGAGACCTGCCCTGGAGGAAGCTTTGACCCTGGCTCCCTTACCGCTCCCACAGCACCCTCTCTGACTCTGGTCCAGCTTCTGTGGGACTCAGAGAGCTGGGGGAGGGACTCAGGCAGAGGCCCTGGGTGCCATCCCCGCCCCCCTATTGCTGGTGTGTGTCCCCTGCACCTTATTCCTGCCGCAAACTGCACAGCATCTCCATAGTAGCCTCAGCAGGTGAGCTCAAATCAGGTGTGCACAGTCGCCCTCCAGCCCCTCCCCTCCTTGCTGCCCTCTCCCCAGATCCACACCCTACCCCACCCCTCACCCTGCACTCACCCCTGGTCGTTTCCACACGAAGGGGATCTGGGGCCTCTCGCTGTAGAACAGAGAGGAGCTGTTGGCTGGGAAGTCAGCATCCTCAAACAGGATGCCCTTCCGCAGGCACTCCTGCCTCAGCTGCTCGAAGGTCTGCCTGGAGGAGTGGGTGCTGCGGGCGTCCCTGGGAGCCGGGGGCTCCTGGGGCCCCGCGGCCCGGTAGAGGTAAGGCATGGCTGCTACCCGGCCAGCGAGCTCGGGTCGGCGATGAATGGGAAGGAGGGAGATGCCAGTGCCAGTCAGGGGCACCTGGGCTGAGCGGCGCTCGGCTGGACCTATTTGCCCGGGAACCTCCCTGTAGACAGAGATGGGACACGCCCTGAAGGCAAACTGTAGAGAGAGCCTGGTGCCCTCCCAGGGCGCCTGCAGACCCACAGGGGCTGGGAGGCTGGGCCGTCCCCAGCAGAGGCAGACTCAGCAGGAGAGAGGGTTGCTTCCAGGGAAAGAGGGCAAGGGCAAGGGCAAGAACCAACCCCTCCCCACACACACCCTGCACCAGGTCCGGGAGGTGGTAGCCACGACCGGCTTCGCCCTGGGGAGAGTGCACGTCTTCAGTCGAGTTTGGCAGTTTGGTAGTTGGAGGGGAGTTTATCGACGGTATACATCGTGGGGACGCAGACTTCTCCTGTAAAGAACCTGGTAGTAAATGTATTCGGCTTTTGTGGGCCCTGCAGCCCATGTTGCCACCACTCGGCTGTCTGCTGGTGGTGTCCAAGTGGCCCCGAGTGCCATGCACATGAACTCCTGTGGCTGCGTGCCCACAGGGCTGGGATTGGTCCCACTGAACTTTGGTGGCTCTGACCCCTGATGTGGGGAACTGATGGCCCCTGGGTCTGCAATGCCAGGTTGTCCCTCTGCTCCAGGAATAAGATACAGCGCTGTGCCTCAAAGCCAGTGAGGGAGGGTCCCCATCCTGGGGCGGGCAGGCAGGAGCATTCAGAGAAGTCTCTGTCACTTGTTTAAGGAGGGAGTCCTGCAGGCCAGCAGTGACATTGTCAACCTCTCCCACAGAGTGGCGGGAGGCCCCCAGGTCCGCGGGTCCCCTGCCCTCTGCAAGCAGCTCTCCAAGGGCAGGCGTTATTGATCCCCTGTCTGATCACCGACCCTCCGCCCCAGAGTGCCTCTGGCTCTGGGTTTTGTTGAGATGATAAGCACACGGCCCATTATCCAAGGGGTTTTAAGTTAAATTCTTCTCTGGAAGTCTCAGAGAGGACTTCAGGGTTTTCCATCTCGGGGACCCACAGGGTTCTGCCCAGACATAGGGATGGTTCATATTCATGAAATGTTATAAAATACACGCAGTATAAAAGTTACCACCTTGATTTTTAAGTGTGGCACTCAGTGGATCCGGGTCCGTTCAGAATGGAGCGCATCCATCACCACCCCTCTCCGGAACGCTTCGCCTTTGCAAACTGAGCTCTGTCCCCATTAAACACCAACTCCCCTGGCCGCCCCTCACCCCCGGTCCCGGCCCACCAGCCCTCCTCCAGGGACCTCCTGGAAGTGGAGTCGCGTACTGCGTGTGCCCTTTGTGACTGGCACATCTCACTCAGCACAAGGTCCTGAAGGTCCAGTCCTGTTGTAGCGTGTGTCGGAATTCCCTTCCCTTTTTTTGTAGCTGGAAGGGTGATAATAGTATATATTACAGGAACAGCGTTTCTTGTATATTTTATAAGGCTTTATTTATTTATTTTTACAGAGCAGGGAGGGAGGAAGAAAGGGAGAAAAACATCAATCACCTGCCCCGACTGGAGATCGACCCCGCAACATTTTGGCGCACAGGACGATGTTCCAGCCAACTCAGCCACCCAGTCCGGGCTGAAGTCGCTTACTTTTCATTTAAATTGGTCCGTGTGGGGCCCATAGAGAGTCGGAGACATGGCCTGTGAGCGCAGAGCAGCAGTCACAGCTGGAGACTATTTGGGTGCCATCAGGCTCCTGTGACTCAGGGAGGGAGGGAGAGAGAGGGAGGGAGAGAGAGGAGGCCAAAGGGCCTCGGGGAACCCGGGGGGGGGTGCAGCCAGTGAGGAAACTGCAGTAGGCAGAGGCCCAGGCTCCGGGTCAGGCCAGAGGGTCAGGGCGCCTTTGCATTTCTGTCACCAGGCCTTTCTGGAAGTGACCTCAGCTGGTGTCTGCATGAAGCTCACAGCACCCAAAGCTCCATTCCAAACACAGCAGGTGAAGTCACTGAACCCTCACAACAACTGGGAGAAAGGAGATTTTCTACTGGCGATGGCAGGGAATATAAAAACGCACCAGCTATGTTCCCTGACCCCGATGAAAGAGCATGTGACGGATAAATAATGCCTGTGCTGACGGTGATGCCGGGCAAACAGCGCCCGCTGCCCTCCCTCTGATGGCCTCGCACCCCGAGAGGGAGAAGGAACACAGAGCAGCAGGCACGAAGTGGTGGGAAGGTGTTGAAAGGGCTCAGTACGCAGCAGCATCTCCGAGCTGCTGCTGGTTCTGCCTTCGTGTGGGTAATTGATTGCGCCTCCAGCCGGGTGTAACGCCCCCGAAGGCTGGAGAACTGCCTGCACCGCGTGTCTCCCAGCACACCTAGGCCAGGGCCTTACACGGAGTAGGTGCTCAATAATTATCCAGAAAGATGAGAATGATGGGGGGTCCCTGAGGAGGAGCTAGACTCGTCATTTTTTCACGCAGACATCGTGCCTTTGGGGGATAGATCTTTGGACTTCAGACATTCTCCTTAGTTGTTTACTTAGGGTTTCTACTTCATCTCGAGCCTGTATTGGTTATTCACATTTTTCTAGGGAATTGCCACGTCACTTAAATTTTCACACTTCGTGGCACAGAGCTGTGTGCGGTCCACTCCCTCCGTTCTCTCATGTCCTCTGTGACTGTAGTCTGTTTACATACGCTTGATAAATATTTGTTGACAGCCGATGGACAGTTTTAGGTCACAGGCGGGGACTCACCCAGCAAATGCGGGGGACTCACCTGGCCATTTGCCTCCTGGGGAAGCATCTGGGTTCACAACCGGATGCTCGGTGTTTGAGACGGTCTCTCTGCCCTGGGCCCAGAGGCCCCCCACATGGGTTCAGGGCTGAGAAGCAGTTCCCAGCACAAAGGCTCACGGACTGGACCTTCAGATCCAGATGCTGAGTGAGGGGTGTTGCATTTTTCTCCTGCCTCGAATCTTTAGGGGGAGAGAGTCCTCTGGGATGAAAGATCACGCCTGAACACCACTGGTGGGATCTCAGGGCTCTCCAAGGCCCACTGGGGTGTTAGTTCATGGGAAAGTCCTCATGAGAAAGTCCCACAATTTGTTACCCTCAGTGTAGACAACGGAGGTAGGAATCTTGACCCGGAAGGTCACCACTGACAGGACCATTTAGGAGAGAGTGAGGAGGGAGGACCTCAGGTTGTCTACCAAAATTCCTTATTCCTTCCTCAGGTAGTCCAGGGTCTTCTGGAAAATGCTTCGAGATGCAAAGGAACGGTGTGAGTTGGACAGGTGAGGCTGGGTAGGCATGGGGCCTGGGTTCCCTCCGTGAGGCCCCGGTGAAAGGGGTGGGGTTGGGACAAACCCGAGGATGGGAGGAAGAGCGATGACTCACCCTGGGGGTCATCTGGAACTTTGTGGTCCTTTCAGTTTGAAGAACACACATGGGTGACTTTGGAGCGAATTATCACACAGGGCTGTTTGCCAAGGGTGCTGGGAGAGACTCCTTCCCCGTCAGACCCCCAGCTGCTGGCTAAGGACACAGTAAAGTAATGCACGAGGTCCATCAAGCACCGTGTCTGTGCTTTGGTTTGCTTTTGTGAAACGTTGTAAATGCAAACCAAATAGAGCCTCTCCCACCTTGGCTCGTAATGTCACGTCGAAGGTCAAGTCCTTATGTTCGGTTAATTTGACTATTTGCCATTGAACCAGTTTTAGGGCAGCTGGTCACTCCCTTCATTAAAACGAGCAAAGCCACTGTCTCAGACCCCTCTCACACGATGCTCACACAGCAGGAGGCATTTAACTGTGTACACAGAGGCTCCAGCCCCCACGGTGCGGCGGCTCTGATGGCTGGCAGGCAGCCTTTCCCGGGCTCCCCCTGCTGCCCTCCGAAATCTCCACTCCTCCTGGTTTGCAGCAGGGAGGCACTAACTAATATTTCTTTCTCTAAATTTCTTTGCAATATTTTCCACAGGAGAAGAACTGGTCATTGAACAAATATTTTTTTCTGGAACTGGGATTTTGCAAGAGCTAGCACCTCAGGTGCCCGGGGGACAGCAGTCCTATCCTCTCAGCGTCAGGGCTCCGGCGCGGAAGGCTGACGACATTTTCCATCCGGACAGCCGGCCCTTATCTGAGCTTGCTTGCTGACTGGTGAGCTGACTGCTCCCCTCTAGACTTCTCCCGGCTACACAGAGCGCCAGAGCAAACATGGAGTTTGGCCCCTTTGCTGCAGAGGTGTAAATGCAAGAAAGTCTGAATGGAGAAATAGATTTGGAAATGGTGCTTTCTGTGTATGACTTACCAACACAGAAATGGGTCGCAGGCCTGCCCACGGTCATGCCTGCACTGGGGAAGAACCACAGAACAAGCTGGGGACAGCTGGGAATGTCCTGTTTCATTTTATTTTTATTACTATTTTACAATTTACTTTATATTTATCATTTTATTATTTTTAGTCCTCACCCGAGGAGGGTGTGTTTATTGATTTTGGAGAGCGAGGAAGGGGAAAAGACAGGGGGCAACACTGAGTGAGAGAAACATCCATCAGCTGCCTCCCTTACCAGGGACAGAACCCCCAGCCCAGCCATTCGCCCTGAGCACGAACGGAAACCCCGATGCTCTGGCCTGTGGGACGCTGCCCCAACCCACCGAGCCACCCCGCCAGGGTGAGAATGTGTCACGTTAAATAAGGACACTGTATTCAGATTTACATGAGTACTGATGAATTTCCGTTGACAAAGCCTTTTCTGGAATAAAATCCCTTAAGCCAACTTAATTTCTCGATCAATTTCTATGTAGTGATGTTAAATCATTTGTATTTTTCTAAAGGTTAATTGCTGCAACATTTTCCATTTTTAGAAGCTCTTTTCATCAGGATAAATTCTCCCACTTCACGTTTATAACGAGGAGCTGATCTATCAATTAGGTTTTGTTTGTATCAAGTGTTGCTGATTGGAGCATCTGCTCCTGAGAAGTTTTTTTT